TAAAAATAGTTGCGCCTCAATGATTGTGATGCTCTTGATTTCGACATTCAAAACTTTACGATTCATTCTATAATTGGTTCGGGTGCATTTGCTTAAGTTTATGCTGTATGTTTGAAAGATACTCCAACAAAATTTGCAGTTAAAAAATTCACCAACGATTATCCCGAAGAAATCATCATAAACGAGGTTTGTTTTTACTTGTGTTATTTTATAAGAAGTTATATTTGCTATTATGTTTCTAGATTCGTTTAATGAAAATTGTGGATTATCATCCAAATATAATTGGATTTTGTGGAGTCACAAAATTTGAAGGTAAAATAAATTGTCTAAAATTTATTTTAAAATCATTAGTTTCATATTTTCTCTTAAATTCTTTAGAAGAAAAAAATTATTCGCTTATTCTTGAATATGCAAATGGTGGAACCTTAGGAAAATATTTACGAGAAAATGTTAAAACTTTCAAGAGTGAATGGGAAAGACAATTGAAATTTGCACGTGATATTGCAAGTGCCGTATCATGCTTACATAATAATAAAATTATACATCGAGACCTTGTAATGATTTATATTATTACTTAATTTTTTATTATTGTTAAATAATTAATATTTTTTTTTTTCTTTTTTTTAGCATCCCGATAATATCCTAATTCATCATGGGGAAATCAAATTAACGGATTTTGGATGTTCGCGTCTGCAAGGATCAAATTTCTATACCAAAGGATCACGTGGAGTAATCCCTTATATGGATCCTAAATTTTTTGAAAACCATTCATATGATCTCACCGAAAAATCTGATATATATAGCTTTGGAGTATTATGCTGGGAATTAACTAGTTGTTCATCACCTTTCAATTTTGAAACAACAGTTGATACTGCTATTCAGGTTAAAATTCTTGAAGGTGTAAGAGAAAAGCCTATCTCAACCACAAATGGTAAATTTGTTTATCTTTATCAAAGTAAGTTTAATTTCTCTATTTTGTTAAAGATTTGTTCTTTTGTTACAATGCAAGCTAATCTTAATTATTAATAGAATGTTGGCAACATGAACCAGATGAGAGACCAAATATTTATCAAGTAATTTCGGAACTTAATAGTGTAACCGATTCTAATTCTGAAGAAAGTGTTAGAACTGAAGAAACAGAAAATGATGAGAAGGCAGATCACTTCTTCGATTGTGATATAACCAGATACTGTAAATAAATTCAAATTAATTAATTCTTTCAA